AAATGAGGAATTACCTTTAGGAGCAGAGGAAGCTTACAGACTACTATAACCTAAAAGAAAAGCTTGCCTACCCATCACGCACACAACAATTACCTGTGTATAAATACTGGGGAGGAACAGGGATCCAGCCATCTGGTACTGCCTTTTGGAGCCTTTCCTCTCCTCTGTGAGACAATGGTAATGCATACCGTCTTGTTAGGGTCTTGTGCAGGTAATCACAGCTGCTCTGATTTCAAGATGGCATACTCCATGAGGGCAAAGTTCTCAATATCCTGTCTAAAACAATCACGAAAAGTAAAATTGCTGCTAGATATAGCTAGACTTTTTGGACACCAAGTAATCCTATTGTGTGGATATAGCTATTTATTAATTAACTGCATTTTATTTATATAGTATATATATTATGGGTGTACACATGCCACAGCATTATAGAGGCCAGAAGACAATTTGCAGAGTCGGTTTTCTCTTTCTATGTCGTTGGCAACTGGGAACAAACTCAGATTGTTAGGCTTGGTAGCAAATGCCTTTACCCACAAAGTCATTCCACTGTCTGATTTTAATGAATGTGTGACCATCCAAATGCATTGAAATTTAAAATACTCAACCAAGTAATTGTATCTTACTGACAATTCAGTGTAGTATGTATAATCTTAAGCTTATTGTTATAAATTACTGTTTGCCTTTTTCTTATTACTCCATATAATCACTTAGAATACTAAATATTCCTTATATAATCCCCCTTTTATTTGTTTTTTTGCATAAGTGATATTGCTCATCTAAAACTAAAAACAATGAAACTAATGTTTTTACAGTATTACTGAAGAACCAGCCAACTATGGATAAAAAGTTACTCAAGAAACACATAAGTAAATGGAAACAGATTTATACATATTTAATTCAAAGGTTTTCTTCAAATTTATAAATAAAAGCACCATATTTGAGAAGCAATCTGCAGAAAATTGTAGCATCAGTTCTAATAGGAAAACTGGTTTTAAAATTTGCAAATTAGTATTTGTAACATTTAAATTTCCTGAACTCACTAACTTACTTTTTTATTGTAATACTTTTCTGTTATCAATCATTCTTATACTTAATTAATTTTTTTTTGGTATTTTCCACTTTGAAGAATTTCATGCATGTTCCCAGACATCATTTTCTATACTATAAAGCATTTGTTTCTTGATTTGCTGAGTTGAAGCATTCAAGTCATTAACTAAACAGAAGTCCTCAGTTTATGCTAATATTGTTTTGTCATAATGTCAATCAGCAAGTATTGCAGAGTGACAGAATGGCAGTGAACTTCGTTGTCATTGATCTGAAAAAGCGCTGTGCTTTCCTTGGCAAAGAGCAGAGGTGAGCCATGTCAAGGTTATGGAGGATGTGCACATTTTCTTAGGTTTCGGTGGTTACTCCCACTTGTTGTTGCAATTTCAAATGGATACCATTTGTATTTAAAGATTAATAAATTGAATTTAAAGAGTTTAAATGACTTACTGACAGCATCATAGCCAGTTAGGGCAATCCCTACGTGGAGGCCAGGTTTATTACAACAAATGTTGTCATATTTCTGATGCCAGTGTATAAACCGGAAGAGGCATCCTGCATGGTTTCTGTTTGATTTTATCCAGCAGAGTCCTTGTCACTGATAGTGGTAGTAATCAGATGGAGCCAGAGGCCAGAATGATAGTTTGTTCTGAATTACAGAGTAGTCAACCTTTAGTAGATTGTGATGATTAATAAGGGGATTGCTTATAATGATGAAGAATGATATTGACAGAATGTGTAGTAATAGAGTTTTACATGTTAGATAGTTTTTCTAATGTGGGTGCGTATGTGATGTAAATCATGTCTTTGTTTCTTTGCTAGTTCTTTGAGTAATTCATGTTCTCCTTTTAGCTTTTGCACACACTTCAGTATTCCAAACAGACTTTATTTCCTTTGATGGTTTACTTGCCATTTTCTTAATAATGTCAAAGCGTAATATTTATTATCCCCTAAAAAACAATAGCACTGGGGTCACCACCAAGCCTGGAATTCCATCTCCAGGATCCACTTGGTGGAAATAAAACCAGCTCTTGGAAGTTGTTCTCTGACAATACTATGTGCCATGTTTAACTGACACACAGTAAAATAGCTGCAGAAGTTATTCCTCGAAGTCAGTGCAAGAGACCTTTTACTCATGTCTATACTACTTAGTTACATCAATTTGGAGGTAAATTATACCTTAAGAAATTCTAATTTTAGGGCTGGAGGGTTAAGCCATCAGTTTAAAGCACTTGTTACTTTTGCTAAGGATTCGGTTTCAGTTCACAGCAGCCCCATGGGCACAGAACCACTCCGGTCTCGGTTGGTATCGAAACAATGCCCTCTTCTGCCCACCATGGGCACCAGGCACATATTTGGTTCAGTTGCATACATGCAGGCAAAACACTCATACAAATAAAAAATATAAGAGAAATATTTATTTTAAATTGAGGTTTTAGATATAGGTATATGTTGATTTACGTAAAATTAAGGGAAAGTCCTAAATGTTTGATTTTTTTTGTTATTGATAGAGTGCTAGATTGTGATTTTATATGAAGCTTATCTTCATAGACATTTTCTACTCAACAGTTTTAGATTCTGGGGGCTTGGGTGATCTTGAATTATTCTACTTGAGACATATTCTTAGATAACGTCTATGGACATGATCAATTTCATATATTGTTAACTTTAATGATATGAAAGAACTAACTTAATATGTTTAGGGTCACATCTGCATATCAGCTTTACAAAGCACAGAATTGTTTTTCTGCAAAATTTCTCTCAGGTCATAAAAGTTACATTGATGCTGCCATTACAGTCAGTCTAACTGCAAGTTTCCTATGCCACATAGCTGCAACTGTAATATTGAAGCAAGCTTTGAGTCCAGGTTGGAAGAAGTAGCAGTGTTTGCATGCATGGATTCTGACCTGATATGATCAAACCACTTCTTGTAACCCCAAATTATATCAGAAGTGCCTTGATTGTTTTACCTGTTAACTAGCCATGCAGTATAAAATCCCTTCAGCCTATGCTTCAGGATCTGTCTCTTAGACATAATGTTTAATGCTGCCAGAGTGCAGTGTGCGTCCCCATGGTATGTTATACCACATCTTCACATCTGCTATTGATCTTGACTCTGGGGCATTCTGTGTCACTGTTTGTTAGCAAAGATGTATGTGCTGCTTGACCATTTGTTTATATGGTCAAACCAGAAACAGAACTTCTGTTCTACAATTGTTTTGTTGTGTTTTTTACTCTATAACATTTACTTTTTAGATACATTCTATACCATTTATTTCTTTAGTGTTCCAAAGTCATCTCTACATGTTTATAAACATCAGTCTTCCTTGCTCTAATTTCTTTAGTGCATGTGTATAATTTCAAAAATGGAATTATACTTCTCTGGATCAATCTACTTTTATTTTATTGAAAATAGATTCTTCTTTTCTATGTTACATCCCAACCACAGTTTTCACCTCCCTCCACTCCTCCCAGTAATCTCCCCCAGATCCACTCCCCCTCTGACTCTCATCACAAAAGAACAGGTCTCTGAGAGACCCAACAAGACCCAAACATGACAAAACAAAATACATTAGGACAAGACAAAAGCCCTCACACTGAGGTTGGACAAGGAAAGAGTCCCAAGAGCAGGCAGAAAAGTCAGAGACCCACATGCTCTCACAGTTAGGAGTTCTACAAGAACACCAAACTAACAGACAGCATGTATGTAGAGGACCTAGTGAAGACCCGTGTGAGAGCCCTGCGTAGTTGATTCAGTGAGCCATGTTCTTCTGGTGTCCTCCTTCCCGTCTGACTCCTACAGTCTTTTCATCCCCTCTTCTGCAGGATTCTTTGAGCTCCAAGAGGAAGGACCCAGTGGAGTCGTCCAGTTTAGACTCTCCACAAGTCTGGCTGTGGCTCTCCCATCCACTCACACCTGCTGTGGAAGGAAACCTTCTGATGACTGGATAAGGCATCAACATATAACTGAATATTTTTAGGAACTGGTGTAACCTCCGCCTACAAGGAATCATTTTGATTTTTTTGTTTTTTTTTAGACCAGTCGTCTTTGGTTCTACCCTAGGTTTCTGGGCTGTTCAGTCTTTGGTTCCTAACCACGCAAGCAGTATGGGGAATGGGCTCCCTCTTTTGGAGTAGGCCTCGTGTCAAAATCAGACATTGATTGGCCACTCCCACAAATCCTGTACCACCATTTCCCCAATATATCTTGCAGGCAAGACATTGTAGGTCAAAGGTTTTGTGGCTGGGTTGGTGTATCTGTAAGCTAAGGAATGCTTTCCTAATAAAATATTGTGTATTTGTTTACAGGGGCAGGAGAAATAAGCCTACTATATTCTCTAAGGGTTCAAAATGCCTAGAAATTTTTCTCATTAGCCATGATGTGATGACTAAACACAGCAGTTGTAATCTATTCAGATAGATCTTTGGTTTTTAAAAAAACATGTTTATATGCCTTACCCAACTGTTACTTAGTGATATTTTCACACATGGAACATATAGGAAACAAACAAGAATAAAGGTATTTTAACTAGTTTTAATGTCATTTTGGAAAAGTGTCTATATTAAAATGTTATTAAAGTACGATTTTCTCACATCTTTATCTTCATAGTTCATATTGACTTTTCTAGATTAGAGAAATGTGTTTAATAAACACTGGATTAAAACATACAAGGTTTTAAATGCCTTGACATAGTTCTTCACAGGTATTAAATATTTAGTATAAAAGTGACAATATGAAAAAAATATACTTTCAAAATTGATCTCTATATCTCCAATTTTGTTCATTTTGTTATAATTAAATAGAAGTTGACTTAGTCTGTTTCTTTGTAACAGATTCTTTTGTTACTAATATACCCTGTATTTTAGTAGCTCATCTCTCAAGAAGTAGTAAAAGGAAACATTAGAAAAGTCTTGTATTCTTAATTTTTTATGATATTTTTCCATCGTAATGCTAGGTCTTCAAACATGAACTAGCTTACTTACTGACGGGAATTCTTGGAGCAGCAATAGATTATTGGATCTTCCTTGGTATTCATATGGGTAGAAATGTGATCCGCCACCTGTCTGCTGACTTAGGAAGCTACATCTCCCTTTCCTGTGATGGTAAGTGTCTTCGTTAAGGTGTAATAAGAATCACTCCTTCTGAAAATCAGTCTTGAGTTTCCTTCAAGAAGTCTGTTCTTTAATGTATAGTCATATGAAGTTTTCTCTCAAAGAATACACAAATGTGTACTTATAGAAACAATTTTAAAAGAAATACAATTTTTTCTTTAATGCTTCCGTACAGAGAGCTTCTATCTTCTTTTTGCCTAAAATTTATATATAATTGAACTTATTACAAAAAACATTTTATAAAAATTATTTATATAATTGATTTCCTTTTATTTAAATATGACGGTGTCCATAGAAGTGGACTTACAGACCGTTGTGAGCTGCCATGTGGGTGCTGGGAATTGAACCTGGGTCCTCTGAAAGGGTAGCCAATGCTGTTAACCACTGAGCCATCTCTCTAGCCATTAAACATTTATGTTATTATTAGTTTTTGAGAATTCCATTGAGTACTGAATTTGTACCATTCAGTCCCATAAACTCCCCACTTGAATTCCTCCTGTGCCTCCTCATCCAACTTCATGCCCTTTTCTCCTTCATTGTTATTTCATGCATATGTGTGTGTATTTATATATATATATGTGTGTGTGTGTGTGTGTGTGTGTGTGTGTATTTGATTACTTGTGATTAAATCAGAGCTCATCCAGAGAGAAGACTCTCTTAACAACCATTAATTACTTACATTTCTTTTCCAAGGGGTGGAACCTCTTCCATACACATGGAGATGTCAGCTGGTGTTCTCATTGTGCGAATCTTGTTTAGAGGACAAATGGTTAAGGTTTTATGGGTGCAGTTCCCTGTCGTTCCCTATCATATATAAAGGGTGTGTGTGCACATGTGTGTGTGTTGTAGAGTCTTTCTGCACCCTTCTCCATGGTGTTCTCTGAGCCTTTGCTGTAGTTATGTTGTAAATGTATTGATTGGGAATAGGCTCCTTGACATTTTATCCAAATATAGATTTTTGTGGTGATCTATTTGTTAAGGGGAAGAAAAGTTCTTTGATGAAGGTAGAAGCTACACTTACCTGTAGATGTAAAAGTAGACATTTTGAATACACTAGTTAGGGAACGTTGTACTTGTAAGTTTTCTCTAGGTCCCATTGCCTCACCAAGCACAGGTAGTTAGCTAAGGTAACAGTTACCAGGTGTGACTTCTCTCCTATTCAACTTGCCTTACAACCATTTAGATGGCTGTTGGTTACTCCCTGAGATATGAAGTGAACTTAACTAATTTTTTACTTCAGCATCTTGGATGTTTTTACAAAAGACTCTTCTTTAGCTATTGAAATGTTCACTTGACTTTTTGCTGTATCTATTTGTGATTTATTAGTTATCGTCTTGCATATATTGAACCGTCGTAGCATCTTCACAAAAGCAAGTTTGATTAGAGTAGATGATCTTTTTCATAGGCATATGAAACTTTGTATTCTTTTGCTCTAAACATTGCATGCTTGTTCTAAGTATTTCTGATAGTTCCATAAAATGTGAATATTTAGATGATAGTGTAGAAAATACTACCAGTAAATACATTATTGTTTGGATATATATGCATTATATATAAAACATGTCAATAGATTTTAGTGATATAATTAAAAATTACAGATGATTGTAATTTTCACATTTAAAATCAGTTTCTTGCCATTTAATTATGATGGTGTATTGACCTGAGCCTATAATCCCACACACAAAGACCTGCACAATGACAACAACACATGACATGCCAGTGTGGGAATCCACAAGGTCCTATATTTAGGTGAAGAGCTACTGGTTGTTAATGGCTGCTAATAAAGGGAGAATGAGTTTTCTCTAAGCACTAGCCCCTTTGCAGGTTATCTAGTCATTTTTCAGTTTGAACAAAGGGTGAGGGAAAAAGGGAAGATTTTGTCCCAAGGAAAAGTGGTCAAAAATGAGTAAGAAGATGTAAAGTGGCACCTACTGGACAGAAGTTAAGGAGGCTACAGATATCAGGAATAGCCTCCTGAACCAGTTACCCAATGAAAACACTAGTACTACTGGACAGAAGTTAAGGAGGCTACAGATATCAGGAATAGCCTCCTGAACCAAACACTAGTACGCACTGGTATATTTGACAAATGAATGAATGACTGATAGTAATTCATAATAGAAAGCTAAGATAGGATGTCTTTAATAATTATCAGGTCATATCAGTCATCTCAGGAAATGTCATAGCCAACTTTTGGGTCTTCAGAATGAGAAGACTTCCCTAAAAGCTGACTGCATAGCTGACTTCAGAACAGGTGGTTACTCCTCCCCCTCTTCTTTCTTCCATCTGTAGCCTTCAATTTCTAACTTTTCAACTACATAAGCTATGGTGGCCCCCAAATCAAGACCATGTTTTCTTACATGCCAAGTTGTCTGTGGTTTGAACTGCCAGGTAAACAACTTTGCACACATATTGCAATGCATCTTGGTATGTTGAAAGAATTTCTTCATCTACTCTTAGTGATGTTGACTCTTTAAAAAAATATTCTGTAATAGAAATACAGGTTATAATAACTAAATTCATAATTTATTCAGATACCTTCTGTAAAGAAGTTTCTTTATTCTATCAAAGTTAGAAGATTTTTATCATTTTATCTCCTACCTGTTTCTCTTTCATTGATCTTACGAGGTGATTACCATTCCTTTTAAAGAATAGATAACATTTGTTGAGTGGCTTTTTTATGTTTCTTAAGTCAAATTCAATCTTACATTAGATCTTTTATCATTTCTTTCCAATCATTTCTATTAGGTAAGTAAGTGCTTTTTAAAAATCTCACTTTTGGTATAATTTTCTAGAATGCCAGGGAATAGCTAACAATTCCTTGTTTCCATTCAATAATGAAACTCCTTAAGCTTTAGGATCCATGAATGTATTAGCTTCAGCATTAAGGATTGTCAGTATAGTTTTGTGTGTTGTTTCTAGTATGTAATAGTTGCCTTTGATGGAATCTAACGTATACTTTGGCCAAATGCATGAAGTAATAACACTTGCATTGATGGAGATCTGTATGTATGCTACTGTTTCATTGCTTTGTTCATATTCTAGATGTCGTTTCATTCCATAGTAAGGCATTTGCTGTGCCTTGCTATGAAAATTACTCTGTTCTTGAATGGCAGATTGGAACCTGTGACTGATAACTGATTTGAGCTAAAAATTAGCATAATATTGTGGGCACAATCATTAAAAATGTGACCAATTTAAAATTCTAGATGAAGTTGAAGTTAATTTCTGTACCTTTGTGTGCTCATCTCGGTGTACACACCAGCTCCATGGGCAAAAGCCATTTGTTGCCACGTGCGCGCGCATGCTTGTGTGTGCATGCACACTCACAACAGTCTGAATAAGAAGCTGCAATGAAAAATTGAACACATATGTATGTAAAATTGTTTCCATAGGTTTCAAATTATGGAATGGGTAAACCTTTTAAAGTGTTTTGAAATATGTTTCTGAAAATAACCAAATTAGTATCTTCCTACGTTTTTGCTAAAGAGAACTTAGTGTTTAAGGTTTGTCAAGAGACAGGAATAAGTAAACAGTTTAATCTTAAGAGAGAAGCAGCCTTTCTGTATTCAAAATAAAATTGAAATGGTCATCTATTATGGAGGTTTAGAACACCAGACTTTCCCATGTATTTTAGTAGTCTTTTTTTGTTCAAATCTTTATGAAGAAATTTGAAAATCATGGTTTGCCATTTCTTTTGTTGTTATTGCTGTGATTTCTCTGTGGATATTCCTGCCTGTGTTTTGTTGTTGTTGTTGTTTTGTTTTTGTTTTTTGTTTTTTTTTGCATCTGTTCAGTGATTCTCCTCAGTGATTTCTGACTTGTTGGTAAGAGGGTAGATTTGGCTATTGTATCATTTTCATGTGAAGATACTAACTCACCTTTCTCATTTTCATTTAGTATAATTGCTGAACTTTCTAGTTGTTTTATTAAAGCAGTATGTATTTAGGGAGACAGGTGTAACCCTTTATTCTTTTCTTTAGACTTCATGCCTATCAACTTCACATCAAAGCTATGGTATTGTTTTCTGACAACACTTCAGGCAGAATTTTCTTTATCTATGTTTAACTATTTGAATTTCATTTTTATCCTAATTAGAATTCTTTAGAAACTTCAGGTGGGGATTAGATTCTTCATTTAAGTAAAATAACTGATAAATATTTCTTGCCTGTTCTTTAGGCCTGAGAAGGTATAGTGAGAAAACAACCTTACACAAAAAGTAAATGATAATGGCAATGTTTCAGTAACTCCTTGCGCATATTCCTTCGCTAATCTTTTAGTTAAACCAATTTCTTTTGGTTTTGATGAGAAAGAATGTGTTATTCCAACAGTCCCATGGCCGTACAGATGGACCTAGTTAAACTGGTAGCTGAAGCCGCATACACTTCTATCTGGGCCTTTTAGTCCATTGTTCTATGCATGGCAACTTTTTATAGTGTGTTTTATTATTTAACTTTAGCTCTTTACTATCCTATTGTTGCTCTCATTCTTTGTCATTCTAGTGTGTTATTTGTGCTACTATTTATATAGAAAGTTTAGTAGAAAATTTGTATTATTAAGTAGATGACATGGGAATCAGCTATCTTAGTAGTTTATCTCGATCAGTTATTCTGTCTGTAATAAATTTTTGTCTTACTAACACTTGAAGTTTTGGATAGAAAGATTTAAGGATATTGGTGGGGTTTGTTGCTTTCATAAATTAAAATTACCTCATTGTAGAGTGGGTGCAAATTTTAATGACATCTTCACATATTGTTTTATACTTTTATTCTTTATCTTGTACGTGTCCTCTAGCTCTTCAGTGAGTGTTATTAGAGGAAACTTCTTCCTATCAGCTCAAGACTGAATGTTACAAGTTAATGGCATGTACGTTTTTGGTTGTTTTTGTTTGGTTGTTGGGTTTTTTTTTTGTTTTTTGTTTTTTGAGACAGCTTTGGTGCCTGTCCTGGAACTAGCTCTTGTGGACCAAGCTGGCCTTGAACTCACAGAGATGTGCCTGCGTCTGCCTTCTGAGTGCTGGGATTAAAGGCGAGCACCACCACCGCCTTGCTGCGTGTGTGCTTTTTAAATAAAACTAAGTGCTCTTGATGCCCGCCTGTAATCCTAACACTTGAGAAGTCTCAGCTACGTAGGGAATACAAAGGGCCACATTCACTAAAAATAAGTGAACGAGTGACTAAATAAAAATAAACACTCTCTTGTTAGCCGTCGCACATGTCTGCCCTCAAAGACAGGCTGAGTCATTGTGAATAAGGCCATCCTGGGCTGTAAAACGAGATTTTGTGTCAAAAATAAATTTAGCCAGTTCATTTTTTTAATTAAATAAGTTAGTTAAAACTAAGAACTAGTTTTCCAAAAAGGATCCAAGTTGAAATTGTTAATGTTATTTAGAAACTCAAAGGTATATAGGTATATATACCTTGCATATAGGTATAATGGTGTAATCATATAATCTATTCTACATATATGGTTTTGTTGTTTTTGTTTGATTTGGTTTTTAGACAGAGTCTCACTAAGGCTGGCCTGAAACTATGTAGATTAGGCTAATTTGAATTCAGAGGTCCCCCTATTTTAGCTTCCTGAGTGATGTGATTATAAGAAATTAACTAGTATATTTGACTGTTGTATATGTGATGTTAAGACTTTTAATTAAAGTGATAATGTTTGTTTTTCAAGTGCTAGCATATGTACCATAAAAGAAATTTCTCCTGAGAAACAAGGAGGATTATTTGTGTGTATGTGTTTGATATAATACAATATGTGTGTGTGTGCGTGTATGTGTATATAACCATCCATAGTGGTTAAAAATTATAACTAAATCTTGCTGGCTTATGATATATCACTCAATTGAGTACAACCCTCTGCAAAAATATGGAGAAAATGTATAAGATGTAACAATATTTAATTGTTTTTTACAGATTTTTCTTCTCAAGAACTAGAGATCTTCATTTGTTCTTTTTCATCTTCCTGGCTTCAAATGTTTGTTGCAGAAGCAATCTTTAAAAAGTTGTGCTTCCAGGGCCCTACCAGCACTTGCACTGAGCCACTCTCACTTCAGAAAATAGTAAGCACTGCCCTATTCAGGTTCCTCTTTTTTTCCTAAGGAGTGAGTTCATGAGTTCAGTTTCAATTCTTAGTTATTTCTCAAGTGGGCTGGAGAGATGCCTCAGTGTTCTTCAGAGTACCCAGATTCAGTTCATAGCATGTATGGACCTTCTGACCTCAGGCACACATGCAGGCATCTTCCAATACACACACAAATAAACAATAATAATCATCTTTTCAGAAATAGATTAGTGAGTGAAAGTTTTGATGGGGGAATACGTAGAAAAAAGTATTTCCTGATATTTGCCATAATATATAATACTTTGAAACTACATCCAAATTTTTTTTGTGTTTGACATTTAAAAAGGAAAACTTACAAAAATGTATCCTGTTTACATACATACATATACATACATACATACATGCATGCTACACTTGCTTCCATTCTCTCTTGTCTTGGCTGTATAATGCTCTAAAGCTTCTTCAGCCAATGACAAGTCCCTTTGTGTATTGAAATGCTGGGCAGAAGGTATCCTCAGCTTCAAGATATTGACAAAATAATTCCATAGATAATTACTCAGAACTGGCAACTTTAATATTCAGTCATGTTTAAAGAAGATAATTTGGCAATGTAACAACTGTGAAATCAAGAAATAAAATGAGACTTGTTAGTAAAATGACCAAGTAATTTTTTTACTACTCTTTGGTAATGATATAATGTTATTTTGTAACAGATAGACTCCTATTTGCCTGTTTTGGGAAAAATGGACATACATGGGGCTGGAAAAATGCAGATGCCAAAAAAAATCATCCAGCGGCCTTGCCTAGAGCCTCAGAGAGCACTACTAATGCTGAATGGTGCAAAGCCAAAACAAGTTGACGGTCAGCCAGAATTTCCGTAAGTAATGCTGTTGCTACAGCTTTACTGTGGTTTGGAATGTGACCTTTTCTCTAAACTTCCTTAAACTTTAGGTTATCCGGGTTATTATCTGCAGTATATTGATTGCAAGAATACTCAATTTTAGACCTATAAATAGATAGGATCAGCACTTCCTTTTACTTCCCTCCTAACAAGTGCTTCCCAAAAGAAATGAAACTATTAATCAAGTCTCTGTTTCATATAAATGTTTTTCTGAAACATGAAGTACAACATATTTTTGTAATATAAATGAGGTTTTAGATGTGTGGTCATGTGAGATGTTATACTGGTTTTTCCAAATGAGAGACTTCTTGAATGGGGAATTCTTAAGGCCTGCATTCTTATTTCACTTTCAGCTTTAGATTCTCTACAGATGTGATTTACTTGGTTTCTTCTTTGCCCAACATTCTATACTCATTACCTTTTTAGTGAGCAGTTGGAGGTATAGAAAATTAAGTGAAAATTAATGCTTCAAAATTTGTTCCTGTATAGCTGACATCGTTTTAAAAATTGGTGAACAATATGATTGAATGAGTGAGTGGTTTAAGTTAAAAGAAGGATACATTCTAAAGGAGGAAGAATACTATCTTAGGTATGTTTCCTTGGTTTTCTTTCTTTTCAGAGAGTTGAACCGTGCTAAATGTTCTTCATCATTGAAAAAATTGAAAAAGAAGTCAGAAGGAGAATTGTCATGTTCCAAGGAGAATTGCCCCTCTTTGGTTACAAAGATGAATTTTCACAAAACTAATCTAAAAGGTATCCAAAGTATCTGAATTACTTACACTAAGAACTTTGCTTGGTTTTAATCAGTACTTGCAAATTTCACTCCTTTGCTCTGATAAATGTTTGAACTTATATATTGGGCTAGATGTAGATGTAGGAAATACCTTTGTAGAGAGTGTGTTATTTTCTTTAACTCTCATTTATACACAGGAAGTGATCGTTTCACACCTGATTAATAGAGTGCCCCTCCTTTTCTTCCCCGCCTTGCCAGATGCTTATTGGTGTGTAGCGTTCCTTGAGCTCATTGAGATTTGCCCTCCTTACTTTGGTGTTCCATATCAACCTGTACTGCTTAGAATCAATGTCTTCGATTTGAAAGTATAATTCATCCTTCATCTCTTTTCAGTCATACACATTTTGTGAACAAAGAGTGAGGAGTAGGCTATGTTACATAGCTGTGTTAAGCATATGGGCTCTTTTCTTCTAGGCACTGAGCCCAGACTGAAATGTGTTTGGCTTTTGGTTCTAACTGTACTGGAGCCTAAGTACTTAATGGATGGAATTTCAAGAACAGTGCTGTAATAATTTCTTCTAGTGCCTCTTTTACTTAGATATCTCATAACCTGAAGATATATTATCTACAAGGCATCCTACTTGAATAAACTAAGTTGCTAGATTTACAAATTGCTCTTTACAAGCTATTTCATATGTATCAACTCATGAAAACAGGGACATCAAAGCTTTTACATCTTTCACTATAATAGTATATAACTTCCCACGAAATATGAAGAGTATTGGATTAAAAGTCAGATATTCACTTCAAAGATCAGTATCTATTTTCTTTGTTTTATTGTTTCAAAATGTAAAATGAATATGAATGACTAGTCTGAACAGCAGAAGGAGTTGGGGGAGGAAGAAAATTGAGAAATAGAGAAAAACTTGAAGAGACTTCTTTTCTTATGGAGGAAATGCTCAGTAGACGTTGCAGAGATAATCTGTAAAACTGAGCACTATAGACACATGCTGGTCGGTATTCTATAGCAGTAACACGGTATGTCCATATCTCATTCTGTTTCTATACAGTCACTGACAAGGATTTACCATTGTTTTAATATCAAACTATGACTTAAATTTTACTATTTAGAGTATGAATAGATCATTTTGACCAGCAGCTACTAACTGCCTTCTGCTCAGCAAGAACCGTGTCATTCTGTGTGCTAGTGTTGTTCAGTTTTCAGTGGTATGTAAGGAGTGTGTGTGTGTGTGTGTGTGTGTGTGTGTGCGTGCGTGCGTGTGCGTGTGTGTGTGGTGTTTATATTAAGATTCTTCCATTTCTCCCTCTGTGCTGCTGTAGCCAAGCCAGACAGCCTATTGAGAAGCAGCAAACCATCTGTTAATGGATTTGAAGTTCTGAATTATACTTGAGTATGTGGAGGCACTCGTGCTTAGCCAGGAACATTCATTTGAATTAAGCTATAAATGCTGTATAAGAAAGAGCCATACATTTAATAGAGGTTCATGAATAAATTTAAGAGAGGGAAAATGCACTTTAAAACTTTTATTGCTGCAAAACCAAGTATTTTTGGTGTTTCTATCATTTGGGGTTTTATGGCAGGATTACAGCTTTAAACGTTGAACTATGGAGAGACAATGCCTGTATTAAAGCTTTAGCTGCAGAATTTCATTGCTGAATTGCTGACAGGACAGAAGCTCTGGATTGCTGCGGTTTCCTCCCCCCGCCCCCACGCCTTTTTTTTTTTTTTTTAATTCAAGAGATGTTTAAACCCTTCAGAGGAAAACTCAATAAGTAATTGTCTGGCGTGAGTCCACATCTTCTAGTCATGGCCTTTGATTATTTTCTTTAGTTGATATCTTGTCTTCTCTGAAATAATCTATTAATTTTTTATGGCAGGGGAAACAGCTCTGCATAGAGCCTGCATAAAAAACCAAGTGGAGAAATTGATTATTCTTCTCTCTTTGCCAGGAATAGACATCAATGTTAAAGGTAAGTTCCCTAGGTCTTTGTGCTCTCATTCAGTGTCTTAAAATTTTTGATACAAATAGTTTTATGTCACATTAAGAAAAATCATTTAAGTAAATTTGCAGAAGATATTTTTAAAATATTGTTACTAGCCAAACCAAAATAATTCATTATGTAATAATTTAGAACTAATAATATAAAATATTTTAGTAGTAATTTTCTGATCATATTTCACCATTAATATTTTGAAGTTGCTTTTTATTTATCCTCAGTTTTTATATAGAAATATGATTACACTGTGTTCATTTTCACCAAAGCTGTCTTTTCTCATATGAAACTCTACAGGGCAATAGGATGGGAGTTACAGAATATCAGTACTACCAGTGCTGTTTTAAAACTTGCCTTGATTTCTAATTTAGACAATGCTGGCTGGACGCCTTTGCATGAAGCCTGTAACTATGGCAACACAGTGTGTGTCCAGGAAATTTTGCAACGTTGTCCAGAGGTAGATCTGCTCACTCAAGTGGACGGGGTGACTCCTTTGCATGATGCACTGTCAAATGGACATGTAGAAATTGGCAAGCTGCTTCTACAGCATGGGGGTGAGTGTGCTTGTGCTAAGTGATTTTGATAAATTATCTAGGCTTTTGATAAATCGCTTAGAGGCAGATAACACTTTATACTTAAAAATATATAAGAAAAGGTGCTTTTATTTCATATTAGTGAATAATTAAAGATAAAAAGTCTTATTAAATATAGCCACCCTTTATTAGCTGTTATAAGAATCATTTTATAATATATATGTACTGATATAACCTATTGAGGTTTATATATAATAATCTGTTTTTTTCAGTTGAACATGTTGATGTTAAATATTTCTTTTACTTAACATATATGATGTCTTTGTGAACTAGTCATTTCTTAAAGCTTTGGATTCAGTGCTTCTTGTGACTACTTTGGTTTTCCGTCCCTCCTTGTTTTGTTACATGTATATGTATAACTCTCCAAACCAATGTTGTCTTTATAAGGCATTCCTTTATAGATTATGGAAAAGATAGCTATGAATATTTTCCATTTATATTTGCAGTCACCTACGTTAAAGTTGAATTTTCAGATGATAGTCAGGGAATGATGGAAGGATTGTGTGAAGAGGCTAACTTAAGCGTTGGATACATCTACTGCTTTTCCTGAGTCTTTCATTTTTACCTTCAGCAACTCCCGTTTTAGCGACATTTTTGCATATGAACTATTATACATATTGCCTCAAAGAATTCAACCTAATTTGTGTTTTCAAGAAGATAACTGAAAACTAGCTTGTAATGAAAAAAATACAAACCTTTGTGTAAATTGGTTGTATTATGCTAATTTTAGCTTAGAATTTAATGTGTTTCTGTTGTATATAAAGCATTTTGTTCTGTGTAAAATCAAAAGGCATATTCTTTATGTGGGTGTTTGTTTGTTTGCTTGCTTTTGGATTGGGGTTTGAACGTTTTTGGTTTTTTTTTGATTTTTTTTTTTTTTTTTTTTGTGGCGAGGGGGTGATGCTGTGTACATCTAAGAAAGGATGCATGGTGGCTTGAGAGACTTGATTATTTATAGTCTTCTCCTGCCCCCTAAAGGCCTAAGTGTGTCTGTTTTACCAACACTATTTCATAATTGACGTAGTTCTTCTACCTTCTTTTTAAAATACTATTTGTTTTCTAAACCTAATGCTTTTCCTATTAAGTATTATGTTTTTCTATTCAAGATTTAATCTGACATTCTAGCAAATACTTGTTTCTGTATCAAATGATGTGATATGAGAGTTATTACAGTATGATTTCCAGTTTATCCATATAATATAGTATTACGTCAACCAATGTGAATTTTGCTAACAAAGACTAGTAAGTTAGGAGAGAAAATCTGCTTATACTTGGCTAAAGTACTTGTTTGTTTTTGTTTGTTTGTTTGTTGTTTTGTTCTTTTTTTTACTAATCCAGTCATAGTCTGGGTTTCAATCTGTCACATGGTTTGACGTTACCACTGTGCTAAGCTATTAATTTCAAGACTCTCAGTCTTGAGAGCAATAATTTTAAGAGTGTATACTGCTGAAACTTTGTTTGCTTCAGGTATTCATAATTTTTTCCTAACAGGAAAAAGTTAGAATATTTTATTTTTGTTTTGAGATGCTAACAAAGATAATACAATTTTCATTTGAAATTCTTTTCTCTACAATTGTACATCAATCATTTAAGCCATCGTATGTGTGGTTATGGTCTTAACACTTAACAACCTATTCTCTTTGTTGGTTCATTTGATAATGATAGGAATTTCCTATTTGGTTCCTTACTGTACCTTCATATCTCAGGTAACAGTTCTATGAGTAAGTGTGTAAAGGCTTAAAGATGTGACTGACCCAGTCCAGTCCAGTACCTGTACTTGGTCACATGACTGAGTGCTGTGTCATTGCTTTACATTCCTTACACGATTTAATATTTAGGGAATAACTTTCAGTCCTTAGCGTCTCAGTGTTCTGCAAGTACCTACTATGACTATTGGCAGGTTTTTTGTTTTTGTTTTGATAGATAGATCAACTATTGAGTTTGATTTAGAAAAAATAACATGGAAGTTTCTGTGAAGCCCTTACCTTTAAGGCAGTAAACATTAGCAAGAATAAAATGAAAAATGTACTATGTTTGCATAGGGTCTGTATAGTTTTCACACTGCCAGTGCTTTATCAGTAATGCAAAGGAGACATTTTTTTTTCCTTTTTCTGAACTTACACTAAGGCATTTTATGAATTTAGTCTGTGAAGACTGAAACTCTTGCTCTTATGGTGTGCAGGTAAGGTGTTTAAAACTGTCTCATTTATCTTCTATACTACTTCTCCAACTAGAGTATGGGCTTCTAAGCAGGCTTCATTGGACAACTGACTGGAATTGTAAGTTTGTAAACTGAGCTCTATTAGTCTGTATAGAAAGTCACAGGCTGTAGGCAGCTAGTTAGCAACTATGGTAAAAAGCAGAGCCCTGTAAGCTTTGTGGGGAAAAGGGAAAAAAACAGCTGTTAACCTGCCAAAATAAAAATGTTTTACTATTAACATTTTGTATTTTCTTTTTCACAGGCCCAGAGCTTTTACAGCAGAGGAACTCTAAGGGGGAGTTGCCCTTGGATCACGTGCTGTCACCAAAAGACAGGGAAGAACTGTTTGCCATCACCAATCTAGACGATACAGTGGACAACTTCCATGCTCAGACACAGAAACGTTTTTATCACCAGCAGCTTGAATTTGGTTCATTTTTACTTAGTAGGATGTTGCTTAGTTTTTGTTCAATATTTGATTTATCTTCAGAATTCACCCTAGCTTTCAAAGGGTTTGCTCATCTAAGTGAGTTGCTTATGGCATGTAATAGTGACACAGAAGCCACCAGTGGACATACTGACTGGTTACTGGATCTTTACGCCAGAAACATAAAAGCATTAAAGAAGCTCCCTGATGTTCTTAAGGAACTGCCTGGGAGTCTAAGTGTGCGTCCTGGAGTGCACACTGAGGCCTTGTTGGTGACCCTGGAGATGATGTGTCGGTCAGTCACAGAGGTGTCGTGATGCCGGAAAGTGTGAGTCAGACCTAAACATACAACCTGCTCTGTCACTAGTATAATAGTCATAGCTTTGCTTATGGACAAATTTGATTTAGTCACTGACAGACTTACAGCAGATTTTCATAGCACTTAAAAACATCTGCAGAACTAGAATACGGGCTCCCTGTCCAGGTTTGGAATTTAACTCAGAAAAGATAGAACAATAAAAGGAAGTAGTATTGTTGGGTATAAAATGCTTTTATTAATCGTTAAAATTCTTTGTTTTGAAATATTTATTTATATTGTTTTGTAGGAAATAAAATATTTTTTCATATCAAAATGTCCCTTCCTCTAAGTGCTATAAGTTTTTAAATCATGATAAGGATATTCATTAAAATGTGTATCTATATACTTGAAAAACTTGTTTCTCCTTTATATGCTAATGTCTAAGATACATTTGTTTTCCTTGTTTCTAAAATAAACCTTTCTAGTATTTTAAATTATATTTAATAATCTTTTTAAATGCTACATTATTTGTAGTTTAACAATTGAGTTCTTTGATCTATTGTAGTTTAGCAGCGCATATATGAAGTATACTTCTGTTCGCTTAACCAGTCTTCTGTCAGTGAAAACATTTTCCCATATATAAAGTTTTATTAAATAATATAATTAAAATTTACAATGAAATTGCTGTGGTTATCTGAAATTTTAGTATGCAGTATGAATTTGCAGATTAGTGTTTCAGTTTTTTTCCTAATAGTTTATAACCTACAAAACAGAATGTGACTATTAACCACTTAAGAGATTGTAATTCCTTCACTGGTGAAAGTAAGTTACACTGTGTTATAGATGGGGAAAAGAATCTTGATGTTATGTAATGTAATTGCGGCCCCAGCAGCAACTAATGTGTTAAAGAAGTATTATGCTTCATTTCTCGAACATATCTTTCAGCAAGACACAGGCGCTCAATGTCTTAGTCTTTGCACACTAATAAAAATCAAACTTATATAAGATTTCAAAATAATTTTATATGTACTGTAAGAAATAACATAAAAATTTGTTTTTGTTATTAATCCTCCAAAGTATCAGCAAATATGAATAGTCCCTGGAGAGGGTGAATTAGGGGAATGACAGAGAGTTTGTATCCAGACTGTTACAGTGTGACCCTGCCAGAGAGGAAGACAAAAAAGAAGCAAAGAGGAAAAGATGGAAAAGAGAAAGGAACCAGAAATAGTCACTGAATCTCACTATGAAGGCACCTTGGGAGAATGCTGTTCCATAAACTAACACACACTTGAGCATAGACTTTGACTCAGGCACGGGGTAAATCTGGCTAATCTGAGGTTGCAAGAACTTTTTTCTCTGTTTTGGTTTTCTTGTATGTCAAATGGAAGTAATGTCATCTCAGGTGCCCTTGTCCTGAAAGAATTCAGCTAAACTCTCACTTTCTCTGATGCTTCAGATTTGCTAATAATGAGCTGCTGCTGGAGCAAAGAGGAAGATGCTAAAGTGGACAGTAATTTTATGACTAAAAGATATGAAGAGTATCATGAGTTAGGATTTGTACTATGAGTTCCATAAGTTAGATATTCACTGAAGAATTTTATTTGATTGAACTATTGCTATTGCACAGCAAGCTGTTTTGTGTCCCACAAGTCATAATGCCATGTTCCTCCAAGATGTCTTCCTTTAAAAAGGCATTGTTACACAGTACAGGGTACTGTGTTCTGTGCCGAATTACTACACTTCAAGATTCCAGCATTATTTGTATTATTTCTTGTTTTGTAGTTTAGAAAACATAATTGTTGTCTTCAATCTATATTAGAGGTCAAGGAGGAAAAAATTCTAAACACTTAAAAGTCCTGAGTTAACTTTTCATTGGAGACTTTCCAAAGTTGCTGGTGAAGACAAAGCTGAGTGATGTCACTCTGTCCTGCATCCTCCCAGAGCAGACTGACAGTCCCATGGGAAGTAAATCAAACCATAGCCCCTTCCACAACGTGAATAAAAGTCAGTCAGCTTTCCTCCTTGGTGCAGTTTATTGCGGTTCTTAGACAGACCTTTGGAATTTTCCTGTGTTCTTAATGTTAGTTCCACTGTAGAGAATGAAGTAGAAATTCTGTAGACATAGTTTCCTACAAAAATGACCAGGAAAAAAAAATCACTTCTTCTAGTATATAAGAATGGAAAATGAATTATTGTTTTAAGTTTAACAAAAGGCTAACAGAGCCCAAAGTGGTATACTTCTTAGGAGGAGCTGTGACAACTGGGAAAGTAAGCTAAAATTAAATATGTGTGTTTTCATGTGTTTATTTGAAGTGCTGTAGAATAAAAATTAGTTCTGTGTGTTCCTGGAAGCTTTAGTAAGTGTACCCTACTTTTTAAATTGAAATACTGAGCCTGATCGCACTTTAATTTCTGATAGTACATTTGATGAGTATTACTTTGGCAATTCTATTTTTAGAACACATAGGCAGTGGGTGGGCTTTTGAATTTGTAGTGATCATTCTGAGGCAAATGTGAATGTGTTAATGCTAGGGCATATACATAAATATTACAAGAATGTGCTTGCTCTTTCTTGATGCTGTTATAGGAAAATGAATAGATTTACATGAAAAGAAAAACTTACTGATGGTTTTTGCAGCCCTTCTGCCTCTGATGAACTTGGGAAGAGCTGTCACTGTCGCTCGTAAGCCAGCAGAATGGTGTCTTCTCTGACTGGCATGAACTACTTACTGCCTCCAACCTTTATTCGGTAGCTTCCATGCCAATTGCATCTCCTGCTGAGGTAGACCTTGCAAAACTCAAAATGATTATTGTTTTTATATCAAATGTGGATTGAGTTAGAAAGGTCAGTTACAGACTTACTGACAAGTACCTGGTTATGTTAAACTGAACATGGAGTTGTTAACTAATGCATGTAAATTAGATTATGTTATCAGAAAATTCAGCTTGTATTTTAAAATGAATTGCAGTAGGAAAATGTATTTTGTTAATTTCTAAGCCTGTGTGAGAGAAAATATCAGGCACTAAATTGATCTGAAAAAGTTACATTGGTTCTGAGCATACTTTCTTCAGCACACTGATGAAGGAAGATTTTCAGAGAAGTGTTTTATAAGACTTTTTTAATATTGATAATCATTAGATTATTACTCTTATAGTAAATTCTGGTCCTGATCTTGCAGAACATATAGAGCTGTATGTTAACTCCTAACCCTAGTTTATGAGAACATGAGCAACATAAGCTGTATCCTTTTTGTTTATTAAGATATGAAGTTGTATGAATTGTTAGAAAATTCTTTGAAATTATTTGAATGAAATCTTAGAGATTTACAAATATAAGTGATTATTTTTTTGTAGATTATGGTCTCTTTGGAAGTTTTTTTTTCTCTTATAAACTGTTTATGGTATGATATATTTAAATACATTGTTGCTTTTTCTAGTGTAGATATAATGCAGTTGAACTTTTATCAGCCTGTTTTTAAACGTTTGAAATGCAGCTGTTAATCCTAGATAGGAATGGTTTTTCTTAAAAATATAATTCTTTGCTCTTAAAGATAGAACTATATTTGCATCTCTTTAAATACAGTGAACTCTTTTTATGTTTAAAACTGCTGACTTATGAATAAAAGCCAACTATTGTCAGTGGGACTATTGATCAATTATTCAGTAATCATAATGAAAGGTGGATATTCATACATAGCATGGAAATATTGAAATCCATTGCCTTTAACAGGTGTAGACCCAAGAAAGTTCCATTATTAAGCATCCATGCATTCTTCTGTCCAGTTAAAATTGATAAATGTGATCACCTTTCTTCTCATCAGATTATATCAAATAAACATTGATGGCCCATAAATAGTAATTATTGATAGAAAATGGATTAGTACTGTAGGCTATAAAAGATTTAATACTATCAAAAATAAAAGTTTAAAATACATTTAATACTTCCAGAGGACATCATTTGCACTGAACTAGAAATCTGAACTCCAACTTTTGAGTTTCCAGCTATCATTTCTTCTGATGGTAGATGAACTGAGATTACCAACATTTCTCTGTTCTTTTGTTCCCAAGTGAAAAGTCATATGGGGGGGGGGGGGGATCATTAGTCTTAAAGTGGTGACCAAAGTTAGTTTGCTGTCAGTGACTCACAGCCTCCATGTCAGATCAGCAGCCATGAAGTGACTGAGCATTATGTAGAATTTGAATAGGTTAAGATGTGCATTTTAAAAACAAAAACAAGTTGCAAAAATGAAACCTGAACAGGGGAATGAGGGAAAATGGTTAGAAAATGTCTGATTTAAAGGAAACAAGAAAGGAAATATTTCTAAATGTTGTTGAAAACAATGATTAAAGTTACTGACTACATATAAAATCATACAAAAAACTGATGTGGTAGTCCCCTCTGTGTGTTGTGATTACCATTAATAAATAAAAAACCTGCCTTAGCCTGTTGATAGGGCAGAAATTAGGTAGGCGGAGAGGACTGGACTGAATGCTGGGAGAAAGAAGAGTGGAGTCAGGGGATGCTATGAAGAATGCATATCCACCTGAAATACATCTCTGTGCATCTAGAAAATCTAACATGACTACAAGCTTGATTATTATAGATGACTACTAACATTTCTTAATTATAAATTACATTTTAAATGACCTGCACACAATACCTTAAGAGCAGAAATATACATATAATTAAATATTTTTTATTCATCTAATTTTTGTAAAATAGTTTATATTTGTTCACAGTACCAGAAGCCTACTTATTTGAAAGTGATACTCCTATTTGAGTCTCTTCTTTTACATTTATTTACTTTTATGTATTTGAGTGTATTGTGGGGGGGGGGGGCGTGCATGCCATGGCAGGCACGTGGATGTTGGAGCACAACCCTTCAGAATCAGTTGTACATAGGTCCTGGGGACTGAACTCAGGTCATCAGGTTTGGTAGTGAAGTCTCTATCCACTGACCAATCTTACTTGCCAAGAATCGATCTTGAAATGCTTTTAAAGTAGGCTAATTTTAAACTTGCATGTCCTCCATTTTTAAAAAATAGCTAGAGCTTTAAAATTTGCCATTTTTCTTCAAAGCAGGCTATAATTGCTATCATCTACTAAAGATCTTAAGTAGCTCAGTTGTCCTGTGTATTTCTTTGAGAGTGAATCTGACAACTCACTTCATGGTACCTTAGACAAGAGCCTCTCCAGTTTTCAAGTGGAAGATTGCTCCTTGCTCTTCAGTGGTAGCCCTTGCTTGCTAGATTTACAACTTTTGGAGGGGCTAGTCATAACATATAACCCATTTTTTTATTTTTATAGTTTTATAAGTGTTAATGAAAACAGTTAAGTGCTTTCTGAAGAGTTTTTACTTACTTAACTCAGAAAACAGGAAGTTATGAGGCTGGTAATTGTTTATAATTGCTCTATAAAATGGAAATGGAACCGTGTAAACTTACTTACAGCAGAATGACAGATAGATAGACGTAGCTGTCTACCGAGAGGGTTCTAATATTACCATGCCATTGTTCTCTAGGCACACTGTTGCATGCACCTACAGGATGAAGGCCAAGTGTAATTCATTAGTTAATCTCCAAATGCATAGAAACATCACAGCTTTTATTTGAAAAGTAACAAAAGGTAACTGTAACAGCCAGGAAGTATTGGTAACTCTCTTTTGGTGGGAGGATTTCTTGACTACCAAATAAAAGTATTTTGAATTAGCATTATAGTGCACAAGAATGAATGATACATACCTGTTTACTAATTGGTGTGTCTGGTGTTGGTTATGTAAATAAATGCAAAATGGTTTGTGCTTATTCCCATCTCCACCCCCAAAAAAAGTACTGGTGATTGTTTTTTCCTGTTAGATACTTTTGTTTTCCATACAAGGATTGAACCTCAGGCCTGATATTTATTAGGCAAGTAGTCTAGTATAGAACAATTGCTGGTGGGAATGCAAACTTGTGCAACCACTTTGGAAAGCAGTGTGGCGGTTTCTCAGGAAATTTGGGATCAACCTACCCCTGGACCCAGCAATGCCAACTTGGGAATATACCCAAGAGATGTCTGATCATATGACAAGGGCATTTGTTCAACTATGTTCATAGCAGCATTATTTGTAATAACCAGAACCTGGAAACAACCTAGATGTCCTTCAATGGAAGAATGGATGAAGAAAGTGTGGAATATATACACATTAGAGTACTACTCAGCGGTAAAAAACAATGACTTCTCGAATTTTGCGTGGAAATGGATGGAAATAGAAAACACTATCCTGAGTGAGGTAACCCAGACCCAAAATGATGAACATGGGATGTACTCACTCATAATTGGGTTCTAGCCATAAATAAGGGTCACGGAGTCTATAATTTGATATCCTAAAGAAGCTAAATAAGAAGGTGAACCCAAAGAAAAACATATAGCTATACTCCTGGTTATGGGAAGTAGACAAGATTGCCGGGCAAAAAATTGGGATCTTGGGGGTGGGGTGGGAGGGGGGTAAGGGGAGATGGGGAGAGAAAAGTGAGAAGGGGAGGATGGGGGAAACTTGGGGAAACGGGATGATTGGGATAAAGGAAGGTTGGATAGGGGAGCAGGGAAGCACATATCTTAATTAAGGGAGCCATCTTCGGGTTGGCAAGAGACTTGGACCTCGAGGGGCTCCTAGGTGCCCAGGGCGATGTCCCCAGTTAGTTCCTGGGGCAGCTGAGGAAAGGGAACCTGAAATGACCCTATCCTATAGCCATACTGATGAATATCTTGCATATCACCATAGAACCTTCATCTGGCGATGGATGGAGATAGAGACAGAGACCCACACTGGAGCACCGGACTGAAGGAGGGAGAACATGAGCAACCAAGTCAGGACCACAAGGGGTGCACCCACCCACTGAGACAGTGGAGCTGATCTATTGGGAGCTCACCAAGGCCAGCTGGACTGTGACTGAAAAAGCAGGGGATAAAACCGGACTCTCTGAATATGACGGACAATGAGAGCTGCTGAGAAGCCAAGGACAATGGCACTGGGTTTTGATCCTACTTCATGTTCTGGCTTTGTGGGAGCCTAGCCAGTTTGGATGTTCACCTTCCTAGACCAGGATGGAGGGGGGAGGACTTTGGACTTTCCACAGGGCAGGGAACCCTGACTGCTCTTCAGACTGGAGAGGGAGGGGGAGAGGAGTGGGAAGAAGAGGAGGGAGATGGGAGGCTGGGAGGAGGCGGAAATTTTTTTTTCAATAAAAAAAATTAAATAAATAAATAAATAAAAATAAAAAAAAGAACCATAGTCTCAACCTCTAAATAGCCTCCCCCACTTCTGAACATCCAATAGGGAAATTTTAAATAGCAAACAAATGAAATGGAAATGAAATTGGGGAAGGAGGGCTTCTTCAAATGGTTTTGGGCATTTGACCTTTCTGGGTATGTTCTGTGTGTTTCACAAGTCTAGGACAAATGCAAGAAGCATATGATTCTGTAAATTTGGTTAGAAATTGGAAGTAACCTCCTCCTGTCACAAGCAAGCCCCTTCGTGTAACAGGAAGTAGAACGATGTATTTTGCAGAATTGATCTTCAATGGACCACACATACAGTTTTTGTTTAGAGTTGTTGGAATCACTACTGTGTAAGAATATTTTATGGGGGATTTAGTTGTATGGATTCTGTTTCTCTGGTAACTATAAAAAAGAATCTTGAGAAAAATAATTGGTATTTTCTTCTCCTTTGCTCCCTTCTGTGATCCAGCTGTCTTTGTGAAAACTGGTGCTTGGCTGTTGTCCTGGGCGCTTCCTATAATGCAGAACACAATTAAAAATTGTAATCCTATGGCCTCTTTTCTGTACAAATTTAGCATTTCTTCCAAATCTGTCACCACTTGAACCCAGGCAAAATAAAATCGTTTAACTTGACTGAAGCCAGTTTAAAGCTAGCCACTGACCCCAGACTGAGCCATGTGAACTTTCCTCACTAGTAGGACTAACAGCTATCTCCTTCAGCTAGAGCTCAGGATTTCCTCAGATCAGTCTTCCAGAGAAGTCAGGTGGTTTCTCACTGGCTTATTGGGGCTGTTCCTTTTCTCTTTGAGGGAACATTAAAAAATATAGAGCAGGGAAGGCCTGCATTGCAGTTATTTTGATACATACAGAGAGAACATTGACACATATACTGAACTAAAGCTCTCTACCCTATTAGTTGATGAGAGCAGAACATGCAGTCCCATTGTCGCCTTTCAGCAGTAGTCCCGGGACTGGAGACTCAGCAGTTAATGGTACTTAACTTTTCTTGGAGAGCACCGAAGTTTTTCTCAGCAGTTCATAATCTGAGAATCCATTTCCAGGGGATCCAATACCCATTTTTGGCCTCTGGGCATTGTATGTATAGTGCACTTTAAAAACATGCAGACAAACACTGGTACACATAAATACCCTTTTTTCACTGCATTCAAAGATACACAGATTTTTTAAAAATTGTTTTTACAAAAATATTGGTGTAGTACTACACACAGGATATTTTGTAGATTTTGTTTTTTATTGTTTTCAGCTTAGAATGAAAGATTGAACAACTTGAAATTAGAGAACAATTATATATTTAGTTGTCTCATTTTGTGTTTTTGTTTTATGGATGTTTTGTTTTTCTTTTCCTTTTTACTTTTAAACCAGAAACCCTAATGGGAGTGGGGGGGAATGCATGCTTTTATAGTGTTCCAATGTAGAGATTTTCTTGGTGTGTTTCAGCTAAAATAACTTCTCATGTGCCTGCCATTAGACAAGGTACCATTGGGTGAATGTTGAAAAGGAGTGTAAAAGAATTCTCACAACAAAAGGGGGATACTTTCTGCTGCTGTTGTCATTGTTTCAGTGAGTTACAGCAATCAGCCTTGGAAAGAGAGTTATAAAAGTCATTTTTATTATATTTAGGTGGCTTTAATTCAACCGAGCAGTTAGGAAAGGCTGACTCCACATACTCTAATCAGATCAGTGACTAACCATCTGGACACATAACATTTCAAACTCCAAAACTTAAACATGCTTTAATAAGAGCAGAGGTTTTTGCTGTTGTTTTGGTTTGTTTATTTTGTTGGGGGGGGGGGGGGGTTAATACTGGCTAGTTTGTATTTGAAGCCACCAAGTGCCTTCTACTTTTCTTCTGAAGCTGAGCACCAAAGCACTATTACTGAACAGTATTGTAAGCAGCCGGGCGTATTTAAGCTTATAAGTTGAATAATGCTTGCTATATTTCGGCGTCAATATTAGACATCTTTGGATTTTGGCATCAAAGTAGAAAGTCCCCCCCACCCCACCCCATGGCCACTGGATAGGATTTAACTGCTCAATTTCAGCATTCGCCTGTTCATCCCAGCACTTGGGAGGCTGATTGTAAGTTAGAGGCCAGAGTCTTGTTGAAATTTAAGGAAACTTCTAAAAAGTTACTTTCATAAGCATACCATTTAAATTTGTCTGTTTACAAATTTGGTTTAATTATACTATTGATACACACATACACTATAATTGCCCTTCTCAGGTTTATACAGTAGATACACAATAAATGCATCACAGGTCATGTAAAAAATATTTTAACTTACATTATCCTAGTGCATAGAATGGCTCAAAATTAATTTAGAATACCCCTCCCTCTCATGAACCCCTAAGTCTGAGTCTGAAACTAACAAAATGAACTATTAGGTAACAGTGTGTTGAAGGTTACAAAAGTGCAAGATATCTGAATTATCCCAGTATATGGTGGCACAATCCCTTCTCTGTAGAGACTTAAACATTATCTACCACTCGTTATGTGATCTCAGTGGCAAACCAAAGCATCTTACCAAAGTTCAGCTTGGTGAACCAATAAGTTTATCAGACTAACTTTGAGAAGATGAATGAGGGGTCACCTACAGAAGCATGGATGACCCCAAAGCAACTGCACTGAGAAGTCTTGACCAGTATGAATTATGCCTCCCCATTCCTGCATAGATGTGGCTCCTTTTCAAGTGACCTGCCTATATACTCTACACCTCTTTAAGGTCACAGGTACTTAAGGCAGAATTGCATCCAGATTGCTAGAATCTTGCGCTCACTGTTCCTCTATGCCCACTCCTTTTTTGAGGGATCAACTGTAAGCGTGATTATGATGGTCTTTAACGGGTTGGCACAGTTGATCTAAGGAATATGGCAGTTGTCTTGCCCAGAGGACAGCATTATACAACAATTACGGTAGTGTGGAATGTAAATATAGACTGTTGAGCAGTTCACAATGTCTGCTACATTTAACAATGCAAATAGATGTTGGGCCAGGTTCAGTATAACTTAGAACTTCGCTCATGTAACTTAGAATATTTGTTTCAGACTTCTCTGAAAACCAAGCTGTACAGAGAAACCTTGACTTGAAAAAAAAGAAAAAGAAAAAATCTAATTTGTGGTTGAGAATTTAGCTCAGTGGTAGAGCACTTGCCTAGCAGAGGCTAAGTTCTGAGTTCAGTTCTCAGTTCTAGGGGGGAAAAGCAACTGAAAACCAAGGTATCCTTCTTAAATATAAAAAGCACCTATACATGAAAATCAAAAATCCTACGAATGGATCAAACAAATCCATTATTCATTTGGCCCTGTAATATATATATATTTGTTTTCTGAAAGTATTGAGGGCTAGCTTGAAGGTGACTTTCTGACTCCAGATAGTTTTCTCTGCTTCACTGGATGCTTACTGTGCCAAAGGTACTGAGTTTTCACTGTAGCCAGGGTTTCAATATGTTTCAATAGCCCTGCTCAAATGTTTCCCCAAGTGAAGTATCACTAATGAACAAACATGCACCCAGTACCCCACTGTGCATTTCTTAACTCAGAAAAAAATAGTGATTTTACATAGAAAAAATTGTTTTCTTTTGTATTTAATGAAGTGAATATGTAGTCAACATTACTATCGAACTAAGCATCTGAAATCTTACACAAGGAAACAAAGGAAACTCAGTCATCTGGTAATGGTCCATTAGGTCCATCTAAGTTAGAGAATGGATGTCAGACTTAGACATTTGAGTAGACACAGCACAGAACATCAGTCTCACACAGGTGTAATCAGAACTTAGACCAAAGGATTTCATCAATAAACTCGTAATAGGCCAGCTTCATAAAGTAGTGTGTTTTTGCAACAAACAGTGATGGGATGCAGATATAAGCATGTCGTTTTAAACATGATACCCTAGATAGAGCATGTTGAGGTGAGGTCAAAGCCTTTCTATAGAAAGGGAATTTAGTCAACATTCTTCCAAGCTTAGTGTATAAACATCAAAATAGTTCTATTGTAAGAAATATTATTTAACAACATATTTCTAAAATAAAAATACTTTAAAAATCAGCTTTGATGAGATTTAAAGAATTTCTTTAGAGTGAAATATATATTTCTGCTTTTCTACATTGTCCAGCACAACCCCCACCCTCATCTCACCCCAGTTATTTATTAATAGCAATTAATAAAATAGTGCAAAATATTGCAGCAATTTCCATTGAGTTTATTCCTTTAAAAGTCAGTGAAGACACTCTCATTGACTGACCAAGTATCTCTGCAGAGGTAAATTCCCTTGATAGACCCTGGACTTGGTCTTCGGAATTCACTGTTAAAGTATACAGTGTGGTTAGAGAAACATTTTTAATTATAACCACTTTAAACATTTATTTTACAAAACAGGCTTTCATGCATTATCAACGTTCGTCATAAATGATGTGATGAAGCACTGGCCTTTCTCTAGTCCACTGCGTTCTCCACATTAAAGCTCACTAATAAGAAGCATGTTAGTAGTCTAATGGAGAAGCATTATTTTTTCAAACTGTTTTTTTCCCCCTGTGAGGACACTTAAATTTACTTTTTCAGATATACAAGGGCATAATTTGATACCAAATGCAGTATGGATTTACTTTGCTAGTATATTTGACAGCTAAATCGGCTTACTAATTTGCTAACTCAGTATAAATTAAATAGTGGTATATATAAAACCCCTGATAATCACTTATAAACCTGGCAGTATTAATTTAATATATTTCTGGAGAGATTTTAAGGTTTTGGATGGAATGATTGAAGGCTTAAGAATTTTATTCATAGAATCTCAGATTCTCTTAAGGGATTGTGTATGAGGACACAGCAGAATATTTGAATGTGCCTGTCCTCATGAACTTAAAATCAGCCTTAGCTATACATGAGTAACGTATTTACACAGGAGTGAAAGTCGGGGTGTTATACTGAAATGCAACATTTCCATTATTCAATGTTTGGGGTTTCCCCTCTTTTGTACATTTTGTACATAAATATTAAAAAAAAAACTAATGAATTGCATTTCAGATAAGAAGTCGTCACATAACCAAAAAAAAAACACCTAAAATCAAATCAGCATATATATTTTATGTAGGGTTAATCATAGTACAATTGAGCATTTAATCTGATATTCTAGTTCTTTCACTTGTAATTCGAGGAATGTGCTTCCAGTTTTATAACCATTATTTTTATTCTTTCAGTTGGTTGTAGCTAACAAGGCTTCCACACTCCACTAGTTAAAATCCTTTATCAAGTTGAGTCTGTACAATGGAATTATATTTTCAAAGACATATGCCTTTGTACACTATTTACAAATTTCTCGATCATGATAAAAAGAGAAAATAAATAAAAAAAAAGAAAGAAAAGAAATGCTGCCGAGGCTGCAGGGTTTTTCTTTTATCTTTCCAGGCGTGCTGGTCCCTCAGTGCTGGGAGCTGGCTAGCCAAGGGTGTTTTTCTTCCTTTTAAATGGGCTATGAGAATGGTCTGGTTTCAGTTCTTGGTACTGCACCTGTTTAAACAGTTCAGAAAAAGACTGGTCAGGTGGCCACTTCCTGGCAAAGAAGGAAAAGCTAAGGAATGAGAGACTGCTTGGGGAGGGAGGTGAAGGGGAGGGAGTATGCTGTTCTAGAAGCCAAGTGGGAACTCCAGCTGGTACAAAGAGCAGCAGGGGCTGGAGGCAGAGTCAGGAGGGAAATCTGCCAGAGAATGCCTGAAGCTCATGTGAGCTTTGCTAACGGACTGTGACTGTTACTGACTGGAACATGATACAAGGAAAGAAAATCTATCTCTTTTTTTGAAGAGCTGGATAATGATTCTTTGCAGTTTGTTTATTAAATACAGGCTTAATCTTCACCTAGCCCATGGTTGTATATATAGAATGAAAAACTTCAACTGAAACTAATGCAAATTGTGATCACTAAACCTAATTCAAGGCTGTGATTCAAAACCTTTATTCCACTTTGAAATCAGTCTGTTAGTACATGTTAAGTCCAAAGGATTTGTGAGATATGCTATAGTATTTCAAATGTAAACATTTTCTCCCTAATCTAAAATATACATTAACATGAGTCTTTAAAATGTATTGAATTTATACAATATGCACAAATAGCTTGTAATCACCATTTCGCTTCCATCATCTATATCTAAAATAACTCTGTTTTCTCTGTCTCTTCACAAACTTAGCTGGGCTTGGGGTACATTCTCCTCAGAAGCCATGTGATGGCTGACTCTTGGGGTACATTCTCCCCAAAAGCCTTGTGATGACTGACTTTCAATCTTGTGCTCTCTGTTCTTTGTAGGTTTTTCTAGATGACTAAAGTCCTGCCAAAAAACTGCAATGGGCTTCATTGACTTTTTTTTTCTCTTTTTTTTATTATTATAAATTTTCACCTCCTCCCCTCTTCCCATTTCCCTCCCCCTCCCCCCACCCCCCTCCCCCTCCCTCTCCAGTCCAAAGACTGATGGAGAATGTGATCAAACCGGACTCTCTGAACGTGGCTTCATTGACTTTTAACAGACACTTCTATGGCCTTTGACAATGAAGTGTCATACTCCGTCAAAGCAAGCACAATAATAATGAATCTACATACCACTTGTACATCTGAAGGAACTCTGGAAAGGAAGTCCAGTAGTTCATTGTTATCAATTGCATATGGACTCCGAAGCTTTTTTGTAAATTTATTAATACCTAAAAAAGTGACATTTCAAACATTATTGAGTTCATTATTGAGTGTGGAGTTAGGCAAAGCACATTTCTGGAGAAGGCATTATGGCGATTTGAACATCAACTTTGTGCTACCCCTTAGCCTTAACAGGGTGGCCTAGTTAGTATAGCACCTCCTTCAACTTGCCCAGCTGAACTGCTGCTTGCTTTTCCTGTGTACAACTGAATAGCTTCTTCCCAGTAGGTGAGGTTTGGGGGAAACAAAAGGGATCCTAGAAGGGATGGATATACAGTGTCTTGCCTGAACAGGTTCTCAGGGTTGCAGTCCCAAGACGATTTGCTTCATGTTTAGGCATGATGAGACTTACCTGTCTACATTTCTAGGTTGTGATTGTTAGGTAATTTATTATTTTTCTCTTTTCCAAAGATATTTATTTTAGGTGGTACTGTTATAAAGCAAACTAAATGTTTAGAAGTCATGTGATTTGATGGTTGGTTATTGTTTAAATTGAAATGAAAAATATTGCCATAAATTTTGGGGGAAAAGTATTCAGCTTTGCATTAAATCAACACTCAGATGCAAACTGAGGGATAGACTTGGGATCTCAGCTCTTAATGGCGTTCCTATACAATGAACTTCTGTCACATTGGTCTTGGTCTCTTTCCAGCCATGTGAGACCTATGTCCTGGATTTCTTAACATTTTAGCTGTCACCTATCACTAAAATAAATAATATTTTTTGAATTTTTTCATTTGATGAAACAAGGCTCAAAAACATCCTGTGAAATTATTTTTAAGACAGCTAGCCACTGGGGCCATACGGATGGCCCGAAACACTCCATAGCCAGATGGAGCCTTAGGCTCCAGTTTCAGAGAAGCTGAGTGAGGAAGGTCAGTGGGGGGAAGGATTTTTTGCCACATGGCAATAGAAATGGTTCTGCAAGTCTGAACCCATATCCTAGGAAGATATGGTTATTCTTTACCCTAAACTCTTTGGTGAGATAGTATCTGCACTGACCATAAGAGAAATGAATGAAACATTAGGGCTTAATAGACTAGAATAGGGTAAAATTAAGATCAAAATTAAAAAGCCCCATCTTTTGAATAGGAAAACTGGTGACTTAATTGAATGGTAGAAATTGGGAAAGAAAAATACAATCACTACTTCCTCTGCCCTCCATCCAGGGGCTAGAGGCAGTACTGGAAGGGAAAGTGGAAACATGGGCCAAAGGAGAAAGAAAACAAGAATATTTTTATTATTTAAAAATTGTGTGTGTGTGTGTGTGTGTGTGTGTATGTGTACACGTACCTCAGGAGGATAGAAAAGAACATTGGCATAGGTGGTTGTGTGGGTATTGAGAACCAAAACTGGGTCTTCTGCAAAACTGGTAAGTATTCTTAACTGCCAAGCTAACTCTCCAGCCCCGAAATGGGAATCTTAAAACTAAACTGGATGGAGACTGTTGTTCTTAATTCACTTTCTTCAGGTATATTTCTTTTAATGATTTGGGAGGCAAAAAAAAAACTCTGTAAAAAATTCCATTATTTACAATATAAGCATGTTTTTTTTGGGTCAAGGCCTATTTTCCATCCTTGTATATTTTTTTAAGTTTAGGAATCCTTGATGTATGTGTTCAGTGACGAGGGACAAATAGAAAGTGTTTCTATATGGTGTTGCATTATAAGGATTGAAGATTGGGTCTTCTAAACCAAAAAATTCAGCAAGAAAGAAGAAAACTTCAGTTCCAGTTCTTCATAAGGCAGAATGGGCTCTCGGTCAGAGGGACGGGACAGACTGCTGGAAGCATGTGGCAAAATCGCATAAATATTAGGGGGGAAATCTCTTTTAAAGTAGACTTTTCTAAAAGCATTCTTACTTAGTAGGCTTTGTGGTTGTTCCTAAGGAGCCTGTAAATGCTGGTAAGGCTTTTTCTGAGTCCTAAAAGTGACCTTTTAAATGGGCAGCTGGTACTGTGTTTACAGACATCCACAAGATAAAATACCGTAGCAAAAGGTATATTGTCCTAAACGTACCACATGGCTTAAAGTGCCTCCATTGGCATTTAAGTGGTAAAAATAAATCAGTGATATCTAGACAAAGTTACACTTTGATATATGAAGAATCTGTACCAGTACATGTTTATAGTATGATGGGAGCTGTGGTGCCAGATAAGAAAAATGCATTTACACTGGGACCTAAATCTCTATGCTGTTGTGATTTTTAACTGACCTGTCCTTTTTCCGTCATGGAGTGCCTACATGACCATAAATACAGAGCACTGCTGATGCTATAACTCATCTCTTAAAAACAGTTTGTTCTTAGCTGCTAAAACAGCTGGAGTGTTTGTTGTTATTTCAAAGGCTTTACTTACCCCAGACAAGCACAATGTACCGCAGGGGGATGAAGTACAGAATGACTGTGAACACACAGAGGGCTACAATGGCCAGCCAGCTTAAGAATGGGACAGTCCAGTTGAAAGTACTGAATGGAAAAGTAACAAATCAATAACGTGAGCACTTCACAGTTTTCTAAAGGAGACTTAAGATAAACATGGTTTTGAGTAACAGTTGACTATCAGAGAACAAAGTTTAGTCATAATCGGTTTCATTCATGAACTCAGACCCAGGTAAAGGATCTTGCTACCAGCCCCACTAGGTTGTCCCAGGAATTTCATTTTCTGAAATCATTACACAACTTGGATACCTCCATACATAGTAAAAATATTTTTTTCTGCTACTAAAACTAGTACCCAACCTTCTTTAGTTTTAAATTTTATACAATAGGGGTCCACCACTCATCCTCCTAAAAACACCATAGGCCCATGCTGGGAATGGATGTTTCCAGTACCTGCAACTCTTGGAGCACTGTGTGAGCCTTAAATTTTAGAATTCCTTTTAGGAACACTCCCTTTCTGTTCAGCTTTGTAGAAACCAGGGAGGGGGTGTTGGGATTCAGGCATTATGCTGGCCTGCCCTTTAAGAGACAAGCTCCACCCACTCCTCCCCCCCCCCCCCCAGCCTCCCCTTCTCTCCTCCTGTGCACTTCTGAAGGCACAGACAGGACTTTCCTGCTTCTTCACTTTTCTCTCTCATTCCCTCTCTTTGTCTCTCTGTCTCCCATTTTCTCTTCCCTTCCCCAAATAAAACTCCTCACTTAAGCTGTCTGGATGATACTGTCATCCTCCCTGGTTTGAAGGTCTCTCTAGCACCCATTTACAACAAGGAAAAGGAATCCAAATAGGGGGACTAGATGAGAGCCGGACAGAGCTGGTGGGTCTCCAGCGTTACTACGCTGAGACTGATAACAGGAAGGTGATGAGACAGTAGTGGACACTGACTGGTTGCCTAACAAGCTAGTGAAGAGAGCTGGGAGCTAGCAGGTTCTGTTGGTGATGAGATATTCACTTGTGTCAGCACAGTGTTACATAATCCTCAGTAAAGGTGGGCCCCAAATTCAGGGTTTCATGCCATGCTCTAGCGCTAGGCAATGGGGCAAGGGACGGTTATTATAAGAATGCAGGTAAAAGAGAGACGGACATACTTAGTCTTTAAAACTGTGAGACAGTTGCATAGAAATACATTTAGAGGTAAGAAGGGGATTATTTTATGTAGCACACAGAAAAGTTGAAACTCAGCATTGATTTATACATGGAAATGTAGGAAATTAAAAACTATACAAAAAAAATGCATTGTCTTTGAACAGCACCATATGAACAGCACCATATGGTGACTCATACTTTTGGCTTAAATAATTTGTTCCTTTTAAATTCTGTGTGTGACCAAGGATCTAAGTCTACAGAAGACTATTGGTCATGAATAATAAAGGCTTCTCCTGCTATAGAGCAGCATTTCTTAAACAGTTATTGATAATTGTTACAGGCCAGTTATCAAATAGCTGGCTATTGTGAGGCCTCAGTATATCTTGAATTAATAGTCAGTTGCTATCAATACACTATTGTATTGTTTAGAGAAAATATTCATTTCAGAAAGTATATTAGTAACCAGTATGGTGGCACATGACTGGTCCCAGCACTTCTTTGCTGTCTCTTTCTCTCTAGATCTACATCCTAAATGTATTAAAAAATAAAATTATTTAAAATAAAACTATGTGAGAATAAAAGTATAAATTCCAGCTGGGCATAGTGGCACATGCCTTTAATTCCAGCACCGGAGAAACAGGCAAATGGGTCTCTGTGAGTTCAAGGTTAGCCTGGTCTGCATAGTGAATTCCAGGACAGCCAGAACTATATAGGGAGACCATGTCTCAGAAAAAAATACGTTGGGGTGAGTGTGTGTGTGTGTGTGTGCTCCTTACTTATATATTATATCTCAATGAATCACATTCCTTCATCAAAGGGAGGTGTAGTAGCACACGCCTTTAATCCCAGCATGTAGGAGGCAGAGTCAAATAGATCTCTGAGTTACAGGCTAGCCAGAGCTACACAATGAGAACCTATTTCAAGAATAAAAATAAACACAAAAAATATATACACACATAAAACCAAACAAACAAACACAAATAGGATGATCAGCGGTGAAGAGTACTTGTCCTTGCAGGGGCAGCTTTCAATTCTCAGCTTCCACATGATGATTCCACCACCTGAAACTCCGGTTCTAGGGGCTCCAACTCTCCCCTAGGACAACCATGGCACTAGGCACACATGTGGTACACATACATACCACGTACTTATAATACTTGTAATAAATAAATTACTTATAATAAATAAATCTTAAACGTACTTTTAATTATGGAGAATTCTTTTATAATTGAAAAAATTCTGTGATTTTTTTTCCTAAATGATGAAATGTGGCTTATTTCTTGACAATATTAAACTTGGCAAAAGTCTAGTTAGACTTATACAGTACAGATGTCCTGGTTACCACCTTTCCATGACTTCATATTCTTTTTAAGAACAAAGTCGTTATGAAAACGTATGCTGAAGTGTAGGACAGTGCTGTACCTTTAAAGCTACAGTTATAACTTCTTTCCCACCAATATATTCTAAACTTCAGGCAGGAAATTGACAGGACCATCATAAAACCAAGTATTCACGAAAACAAGAGGAAACTGAACAACATCATGGAATGGTGACGTGTGCCTGACAGAAGGGCGCTGCAGCCCTCCCTCTGGGTCAAGCAGGCTGCCAGCACAACTCACTTCTTTATCCTTTCACCAAAGGAGGCCACGTCATCTAGGATATTCTGCACACTGACACAGACTTCTTGGATGGCATAGATTTTGTTTATAAATCCTTTTTTTTCACCATCCTAAAATACAATAAAGAAAGAAATTCTGTATGAGTAAAAGGTATATATATATTGGTTCTTGCTTGATTCTTTGGACAGTCCCTCTCTTGCATTTTTAACATTAAGTGTGCTTCATCTCTATATTTTTGCAAATGGATATTTGGAGCTCATGAAATTTTCAGGAAAAATGACAGGAGAACTGTAACCCAATGGATGCAATCCAAGAACCCTGAATTCTGTTGCTCAGAGGAATGGAAACAAGGAGGTAGAGACAGGAATAATTGCCAAAGCTAAGGCAAGACTCACTTAGCAAGCCCAGTCTTTCTCTTCTTCACCAATCTCCTCCCAGGATAAGACCTGATGCCTGGAACTTACTGTGTGGGTGAGCATGACCTTGAAGCCTTGATTCTCTTCTACCCTGCTAAGTGCTAGGACTCCGGGCATGTTCTTCTATCACACCACACTCTTATGTGGTGCTGTAGATCAAACCTAGAGCCTTGTGCATGCTAGGCAAGCACTCTAGCAATTGAACTACAGCCTGGACTCCAACCCGCTGTCTTGATCCCACAACCTGTACACCTTAATTGGGTCTCTGCATATTTTCTTGTACTTTTTTGTTTTCTGTTGAGCCAAGGGCTTTGTAAAGAACCCTGCCACTGAATTGTAACCCTAGACTTGACCAAACAAACACTTCAGTTGCAGGAAATACTGAGCACGAACAAGTAGACCTGGGAGCAGTAACAACTGATGACAAAAATGACTAGTGCTGGGATAGCTTAACAAGCCATTCGTGGGTCCACTACATGCCAATCTTCCAAAAGATGCTGAGATAGTCTACTGTCTCATATGCTGGTAGCCAGTTTTAAAACTTCCTTTTTTGTACATACTTCAGCTTGAATCTTAAAGAATTCTTGTATACCAGGGAAGGAGTGGGAGGAGATTAAGTATAAAGCACCCTGTGCATGGTGTGAACCTAGGGAAATGTGCATATTTTGTAATTTTAGACCCAGAGGAAGAAATAGTGGTGGCCTTTCACGATAGAATTCAGCTTAGTAGCCTGGCATCACAGACACTTGCCTAGGTTGTTTGGTGGAGACCATCCAACCCTGATTCCATGACTCCATTTCTCCATGCCAACTTGAATGTCTATGGAAATATAGATCCAATTTCATTACTTTAACTTCTTTTGAACACTTGAATACTTTGCCAGAACACTCGAGACCTCGTGTGGCAGCTAGTGCCAGCCAGGAAAGTAAGATGATAATGTCATGTTGCACATTTACATACGACTTTCATTTTACCAGAGTCCAAACACTGCACCGTGAATGCTTGGCCAGGGCTGGCGTTCTGCCGCTCTGCCACCTAGAAACCAAGGACAAGTGAATCACAGGTGCAAAGGCCTCCTTCAAGGACTGCACAGTATGCTGGGACCATCGCCGTATAGGCAATTTTATAATTGGATCACAACTGTGGATACCAATCAGTTTTTATTTCAAATTTAACTTCAGTAAGAGAAATGTTTTACATTAGTTATCTAAAGTCAAAAAGGAATGTCAAGAGAGGGATACTCTAAACCTCGTAATATGGGAAGTAATTAGATACCCAGCATTCTCCATTGTATTCAAGTCATCCTTTACTTGCCATGACAGACGTAGAGACATTTAATTGCTTATGTTTTCTCCCTCTTCATTTTACCAGATAAAATATTAATTTCACCTATAATCTTATGTAATTGTACATTTTAGATAAAGTGAGTATCTAAAGTGACTCTTCCCAGTTGTTTTCATAACTGCAAAGTTGGGCTAACCCTTAGTGTTCTTTTCTAAGTAGCAGCTAAATTCTTTTATGTTTATGAATCAAAGTACCCTTGTAAATTGTTTATTCTGCATATAAAAAACAAATACAAAACAAAATAAAAAACAAACCCATGCAGGCAGGACTAGGGCATGTGTCAGAGGTAGACTGCATGCTGGCCATACACACATCCCTTGGTTCTATCTTTAGCACCAAAGAGAAAAATAAGCAAGTCCAAGCGTGTTGTTTGTGCAGTGAAAAATTCACTGAGAACAAGGTTCCTGCTCAGGGATATATGTTCTTTCACAATAACAATAAAGTACTTTGACCTAACTTCAAAAATTATGAAAGCATAGAAATGTGTCTATATTATTATGTAGAATATTAGGGGCATTGAATGTTCAGATTAATTGCAATTTCAACCAAATCCTTATGTTTCAAGTAGACAGAAATTGAGAGAATTTGATCAAATATTTCTAATTTTCTTGGAAGATTGATATGTAACTGTAATCAAGATATTTCTATAAAAGAAACAATAATGAGAAAGCATTTTGTAGACCAGATAATTGAAATGGAAGACAGGTACTGAGAGAATGATGTATAATATGGCATCCTGCTGGGTGATTGCCTGCAATCCCTGATCTCAGGAAGTGGAGGCAGGCTAACCAAAAGTCCAAGGTCAGCCTGGGTTACCTGAGACCCTGTATCAAAAAAGTGGGGTAGGGTTTCATCATATAGAAGGAAATTGTAAATGAGCAATTTTGTTGCGTATAATATTTAGGGGAAATTATAGTAAACCCTACCTTAAATGAACTCTCAACTCTAATAGGTAGTACAAATAGCTCTAAATCCATTCCATACTAATTTTTCAAAGCTAAGAACTATAAATTATTAAAGGATAATATAGATATTTACTTACATTGGTAAGAAAGAACTTTCTAAAATCAAGCATTAAAAATTATAACTCACAGAGAAAATCTTGGTAGCAGTGATTTTGTAAAGTTAAAAATGACATCAAAAGTCACCATAAACTGAAAATGTTCAGGCTGGGCTACAGCCAGTGCTATAGTGTGTGCTAAGCCAGTGTGAATCCCAGGCCTTTAGCTATAGTGCTACCAAAAAGAATTTTTAGGCTGAGAAAAAACTAACAACAGATATTGCAAGTGATGGGATTATATTCCCAATGCACTCACCCAGTAAGCACCTGTAGAAATATTTCTGTTGCAGGTTTCTTTATAAATTTAATAAAAAAATCATTAGCACATTGACTAGAACTATTCTGGATATCAGAAAACATTTAATTTTTAATGATGAAATGTTTATGATCTATTTCAAATAAGTGAAAAATGAATGATACATAAAATCTATTTTTTAAATAAAATTAACATTTTATGCTTAGAACTCACACCTTCCAACACAGAAGTAAGTTAAACTAATTATACGGCATCATTTTACTTTGACTTTTTTATATTTTGTACTTTAATAAGCTTTAAGTAATTTTGAAAAAAGATTTAAAAGTCATGTTCACTAAGTACTATAAAATGCTTCTCATATACCAAATTCAATCTTCATAGCCATCCTATAGTATATTTTTCCATTGTTCATTAGAAACTAAGGTTCAGAGATATTGTCAGGGCTTGAATTGGTCTAGAACTGGTTAACTTCAGGCTCTTCTCTCCATAATAGATGGCTTCCTTATCCCACTGGGGAGATTCTAGCTCCCTCCAAAGCTTCAGTAAGATAAGTAAGAGAAAAAAGGGGAAAAATTTACTTGTGTAACCCACAACCTAGCCTTGAGGCTCACCATGCAACTAAGTTCTTCAGCAAGGAAATGAAATACAGAAACTTCCTTCAAGGGTAGGCAGTGAAGATGTGTTAGGGATCACCGGGTTTAATGTAAACGACATGCTGCAACATAGGATCTTCAGCAACAGCATGTGTCATTGAAGCCATTAAAATGGGCAATTGTGAATACTTACTTTAAAAATTTAAAGATTGATGAATAATTTTTGGCTAAGATTCTTAAAAATTGGTTCAGCTCTACAATCCATAACCCCAGATAACCGAGACTCTAAAGGACCCTAAGAAAGACATACACAGATCCAAATAAGGAAGAGAAAAGCTCAAGGTCCCAAGAGTAAACTGGGCATCTGGGAGTCACAGGAGAGGGTAGAAGGGGAGAGGGGAGGAAGGGAGGAGAGCGGAGAAAAATGTATAGCACAATAAAAAGAATTAAAAAAATGAGAAAAACATAAAAAGAGAAACCACCAAAAAAACTTAGCTCAGCTCGTATACTTTCTTTGTTTTGCTAGACTTTAAGCCCATTGCTACTCCCATACCCCTGCCATCCAAAGAGAAAATAAGGTGGGCTTGTCTTAAAGCTGGCAAAGTTTGGAGAAGGAAATACATTGGGGTAAAATCTTTATTGCAAAATCTCTTTCATCAGATTCTATATTCCTTCACTGTGGTCTCCAGCCAATGAAGTAATTACTCTTTATATACAGTATATGATCCAAAACTGCAGTGGGTAATGGAATTGCTCTATGTTGCATTCCAATATTTCACACTTTCCCCCTAATGTTCAATACTTTATTAGTAGGGAATAAATTGGTACATTTCTTTTATTGTCATTATTGCTTTTCTTTATAAGCCAGTTTCAATGAAAGAAATACACAGAGTAGTTAATCATCCAAAGGCTCACTAGTGACATTGGTTGAAAAAATGATTAATATTTCTTTCAACGTGTAAAAAATGTTACTCATAGAAAACAGTTATAACTATAAATCTGATAACATGTGAGGCTTAAATTGCATAACTTCTTTAGATTCTGTGTAATTTTTAATGCTTATTATCAGGTTCAAATTGTACACAAAACATCAATTGCTGTAAAACTTGAATCTTGGTTCTCTAATATTTGGCTAGGATCTGTGTTCTACGCTAAGGACAGTTTGGTCCCCACTTTCCAAAGCTGATTCTGTTCTGTGTCTCTAACCTATGGAGAAAGTAGGACATAGAGACTGTTGAGGGACACACTAAGAAGAGATCAGATGTTTTTTCTCTGCCAACATTTCTTTCTTTTTCAGATATAGAAAACTATATTTCAGCCCAAAATACTGAAATTTTCACAGAGAGCAGCTTGGCAACTCAAAGTCCCTTGGCGACTGAATCTCAGTTAGTGTCTTCTGCAATTCCTATGGCATCAAATCTTACTCAGGTTACTGGGCCTG